ATATATATATATATATATATATATATATATATATATATATATATATATTGGCCCTTTAACTTCAAATCTTTCGTGTACGTCCACAATCCATTTTAATTGTCAATTACTTTTATTTAAAACCTTATAACTTATAACAACAATATATATTGTACCTTTAACTCTTAAACCTTGTCATTTTATCTTTATTTATGATAATAATAATATATAGAAAAATCATATTTTTATTTTAAAATTATATTTTTATTGATTTTTTTTAAACATTTTGAAATTATATTTTTATCAAAATTAATTTCGAATATATTATAACTTTTAATTTTTAATTCTCTACAAATTAAGATTAATATCGAACCATTACTTATCGGTTAACAAAAAATAGAAACCAAACCATCGGTTTTAAAAATGGTTCGGTTAGTATGGGTCAGCTGCGAAGGTTGGCTCCTCTAAGATTTTGCCATCTGTCGTTAACGAATTGTCCACATCCCCTACCTTTTAGAAGCTGTCACATGTCACCTCCGTGTGGTGCCACGTGTCTGTGCCACATCACCTGGTCGGTGGAGGTACCCGACACTCTTTACCATTATATATTATTTTGTGTGCAATATTAATTGAATTTATTTTTGTTGGCTTCGACAACCACCAAATCATATATAAATATTATTAAATTTATATTCACATATGAATATTACATCTTCCCCATCATATCAATGCAACGGAACATTTTACGGTAAAAATAAATATGTAACTGTATTCATTCTCACCATTTTCTTATAAGTTGATTTGAAAATTCGAACTATACCCTTAAAATCCCAAGTTTTTTTTTTTCATCATGTCAAAGTGATTTTCTTTCAATATCTTGGTCGTGCGGTTAGAAATCTATTCGTGCTAATAGAATTACCCCCGTGAAAATATAAACTAGTTGGATGAGGAATCGGTCAGTATCAAGCAATGTGAACACGCACAAAGATAATAATTATTTGTTTGTTGTCAGAACTGCCTCTAATTTGGCTTTGATTCTTTATTAGCGGCTAAGCCGAGGTGGGTTAATTTTCTTGTCCTCACATTCTTCTTCCCTCCAAGTAACTATCATTTATAAAACATGGCAATATGCACTTGTTCATTTATTTAACCCTCAAGAGACTCATTTGAACAAAATATACATTTCCATTCGTAGGAAATGGAACTGAATAAAGGAGAATTTATTGTTTTGGTTATTGGGTTTGTTCTTCTTCAACTGTGTTTGCTGGGATCAGCCAATGTCGTCTTCCAGGTTCAGCATAAATTTGCTGGCAAAGAGAAGCCTTTAACTGAGTTCAAAGCTCATGATTCCCAACGTCATCGGAGGATTCTCTCAGCCGTCCACCTCCCCATAGGTGGCGACAGTAACCCTACCTCAGCAGCGTTAGTTCTCTCGCTCTTAATATATACATTTATGTATTCAAGATTGTTTTTTGTTGATTGCTCAGTGTTGTTCCTGTAGTCGTTGTTTCCATGACAAATATGGCTAGATCCAGTTCCTGCATACTCACCTATGGAAGATGAATGTGTTTGTGATCCTTTTGGAATTTCTGGTCCTATTTTCTGGATTTGTGATAAGAAAAATAAAATATGTTCTTTCTCTTGTACATTAAGGAATGCCATCAAGACA